TCTCCATTTCCTAGATCATTAGATCATAACAAAAAGCTTCTTTTTATAGATCTTCTATGTTTATAGAGGGCAAAAAGTCTTGACAATCGTGTTTGTGATTGATTGATTAAATTATTTTCAAAATTAAATTTCAGTTTTTAATTTGAAAATAGTTTTGAGAAACACCAAATAAGGAAATATACTTAACAACTAAAACAAGTCGCGTTAAATGTATCATTCAATAGTGTTGCTTTTAAAATACTTATATACATGTAAATATCTACATATTTATATATACTTAGGCTTATTCGAAAACGCTAATTACAGTGCTATTTTTTGGTGAGGGGAAGTTTGGAGGGAGTTTAGCATTTATATACAAATTTTATTTTATATTGCAAGTAGCAAATCACTCTCACTACTGTCTTCAATCTGAATACTGTTGCTGTACATTTTTAGTTTGCTGATTATTTGGAATTAAAACTCTACTTTTTACACATTTTTTTTCAAAGTTTGCACAAATATTTTTCGAATTTTTTTATTCAACTACCACAACACATGCGTTTTCAATCGTTAGTTAAACTCAATTGTTATATGCTGTACATATGTATGTGTATTATTCGTATTTTTTCAATTTTAATCATATTATTGCTTTAGCTATGTATTTTTGCTTGCCTGTTTTTTCATGAAGTTATAGTTTTTTTTAAACTAAAAAATTTTCTGCATAAAAAATAATCTGTATACGAGAAAAATTCTAAAAATTAAAAAAAAAATGTATGATTAAGATTTAAAAAAATTAAAAATATATATATACATACATATATTTAAAAAAATATATAAAATATTTAGAAAATTTATTTGGAAAAAAAATTTAAAAGGAAAAAATTTTTGTAATATAATATATTTTATTTTCTTATTAAAATCAAATACCCATATTTTTTTTGTAATAATAATGTATAAAAAATATATTTTGAAAGTTGCACTTACATATATATTCAAGTTCTTCATATTGTGTCGCTATGCTTCTTCTCCATTTAAATACTTTTCTTAATACTTATTTACAAAACCAGAATTTTTTGAAGTGTGTGTAGGTATTTTTATTTACAACAGTGTACATTTAACTATATGAATTTCATCAATAAAGAGTAGTGTTGTTGTTCTACAAAGTTAGTTACAAAATATAGTGTAGCAGATTATCAGTTATTTTTATATTTATTTATTTTTTTATTGCAAGTTGGCAGTTTTTCATACACATATGTATGTATGTATGTTTGTATATTATATAACTCGTTAGTTTGAATGAACGGTAAGCGGTAAAAAAATGGCAAAACATATTTAATAAAATGTTTTGCGAATTGAATTAATGGAAATGTAAATAAATCAAGAAGTGAGAAGAAAAAATAATAATTTTAATAAAAAAATAATAATTTTAATAAAAAAATAATAATTTTAATAAAAAAATAA